AATTTTTTAATCTATTGTAGAGATGAGGTCTTGGTGAGTTGCTCAGGCTGGTCTCGAACCCGTGAGCTCAGGCAATCCTCTTACCTTGGCCTCCCAAAGTGCTGGGATTATAGGTGTGAGCCACTGTACTCAACAGGAATTATTATTATTATTATTATTTTTTGAGTCAGAGTCTCACTGTGTTGCCCAGGCTAGAGTGCAGTGGCACACTCATGGCCACTGCAGCCTTGGCCCACTGGGCTCAGGCAATCCTTTCACCTCAACCTTCCAAGTAACTGAAGTTTTAGGCGTGTGCCACCACGTCGGCTAATTTTTTGATTTATTGTAGAGACGAGGTCTTGCCATGTTGCCCAGGCTGGTCTCAAACCCATGGGCTCAGGCAGTCCTCTCACCTCCGTCTCTGAAAGTGCTGGAATTACAGGCATGAGCCACCATGCCCAGCAGGAATTTCTCTATGCCCCTTGTCCCCCTCCAACCCTCCCTGAGAAGTCTGGAAGGCCAGAGGGCCCACGTTGCCTGGGGGCTGGGAGAAGAGCTCTTAGGGTGATGGGAATTTGGGGGGCAGCCTGGCTGGCCACCCCAACCTAATGCCAGAAGGTGGCTTAGTTGGTCATACCCTACAGATCTGCTCATGTTCTTTTTTTTTGAAAGCAGGATTTATTGAGAGGACAGAAAAGTTCCCACAGTGGGAGTGGACCCGAGGGGGTTGCCTGTTCATGTTCTTTAAAAAAAATTATTTTAGAAATTTTATTCATTTATTTTTAAATTTGAGATGGAGTCTCACTCTCTTGCCTAGGCTAGGGTGCAGTGGAACAATCATAGCTCATTGCAGCCTTGAACTCCTGGTCTCAAGCGATCCTCCTGCCTCAGCCTCCCAAGTAGCTGGGATTATAGGTGTGCATCACTATACCTGGCTCTTGTTTCTTTTTAATCCTGGGATCCCAAAACATCTTAAATCCCATACTCATGTTTTATTAACAGCATTATTCTGATATAATGTACATGCCATACAGTTCATTTTTTAAAATGTACAAGTTGCTGGGCTTGGTGGCTCACACCTGTAATCCCAGCACTTTGGGAGGCAGAAGCGAGAGGATTGCCCGAGCCCAGGGGTTTGAGACCAACCTGGGGAATTTGGCGAGACCTCATCTCTACAATAAATCAAAAAATTAGCCGGGCATGGTGGCACATGCTTGTGGTTCCAGCTACTTGGAAAACTGAGGCAGAAGGATCACCTGAGCCCAGCAGATCAAGTCTTTGGTACCCATGAGCATGCCACTACACTCCAGCCTGGGCGACAGAGTGAGACTCCTACTAAAAAAAAAGTATAAGTAAATGGTTTCTAGTGTATTCACAGAGTTGTACAACCATAATCACAATCAATGATAACACCCCAAATATAAATCCTGTACCCATCAGCAATTCCTCCCTCTTTACTTGCAACCTCTATCCCCTGATCCTCGTCAGCCACTGCCTACTCTTTACCTCTGTAGATTTGCCCATTCTGGACATTTCATCTAAATGAAATCTTATAATGTGTGGTCTTTGTGACTGGCTTCCTTCACTTGGCATAGTGTTTTCAAGGCTTATTTATCCATGTTTTAGCATGTATCAGTACTTCATTCTTTTTTATGACTGAATAATATTCCATTATATGAATATATATATTTTGTTTATTCATTCATCCATTGGCGGACATTTAGGTTTCTGCTTTTAGGCTATTATGAAGACTGTTGTGAACATTCACGTACAAGTTCTTGTGTAGACATATGTTTTTATTACTTTTGGGTATATACCTAGGAGTGGAATTTCTGGGTGACACAGTTACTCTATGCTTAACTGTTTGAAGAATTGCCAGACTGTTTTTCAAAGTGGCTGCACCATTTTCCGTTTCCACTGGCAGTGTATTTGGTTTGTTTATTTGTTTGTTTTTTGAGTTGGAATCTCACTCTGTTGCCCAGGCTGGAGTGCAGTGGCATGCATGCTCACAGCCACTCCAGCGTCGATCTGCTGGGCTCCAGCGATCCTTCTGCCTCAGCCTTCCAAGTAGCCAGAACTACAGGTGCGTGCTACCACGCCCGACTGTTTTTTATTTTATTGTAGAGACGAGGTCTCACCAAGTTGCCCAGGCTGGTCTCGAACCCACAGGCTCAGGCAATCTACTCACCTCAGCCTCCCAAAGTGCAGGGATTACAGGCTGAGCCACTGAGCCCGGCCTCCACTGGCAGTGTATAAGGGTTCCAATTCCTCTGTATTCTCACAAACATTAGTTATTATCTGACTTTTTTTTTTTTGGTCAGTGTCTCACTCTGTCACCCAGGCTGGAATGCAGTGGCACAATTGCAGCTCACTGCAATCTTGAACTCCTGGGCTCAGATGCTCCTTCTGCCTCAGCCTCCTAAGTAGCTGGGACCACAGGCACATGCTACCACGCCCAGCTAATTTTTTAATTTTTTGTAAAGATGAGGTCTTGCTGTGTTATCCAGGCTGGTCTCAAATTCCTGGGCTCAAGCAGTTCTCCCACCTCGGTTTCCCAAAGTGCTGGGATTACAGACATGAGCCACTGCACCCAGCTAACTGACTTTTTTTTTTTTTGAGTTGGAGTCTCACTCCATCACCCAGGCTGGAGTGCAATGGCATGCTCACAGCCACCCCAGTTTTGACCTGCTGGGCTCAGGCGATCCTTCTGCCTCAGCCTTCCAAGTAGCTGGAACTACAGGTGTGCGCTACCACACGCAGCTAATTTTTTTTATTTACTGTAGCGATGAAGTCTCGCCAAGTTGCCCAGTCTGTTCTTGAACCTGTGGGTGCAGGCAATCCCCTTACCTCGCCCTCCCAAAGTGCTGCGATTACAGGCTTGAGCCACCTTGCATGGCCCACTAAATGACTTTTTTTTTTTTTTTGAGTTGGAGTCTCACTGTGTATCCCAGACTGGAGTGCAATGGCCGCTCCTGGCCACTGCAGCCTCGACCTGCTGGGCTCCGGAATCCTTTTGCCTCAGCCTTTCAAGTAACTGGAACTACAGGCGTACGCTACCACGTCCAGCTAATTTTTGATTTATTGTAGAGATGAGCTCTCGCCAAGTTGCCCAAGCGGGTCTTGAACCCGTGGGCTCAGGCAGTCCACTCACCTCAGCCTCCCAAAGCGCTGGGATTACAGGCTGAGCCACCAAGCCCGGCTCACTAAATGATTTTTTGATTACAGTTAGTGGGTATCAAGTAGAATCTTTGATTTGTGTTTCCCTATGATTAATTATGTTGAACATCTTTTCATGTGCTTATTAATCATTTGTATATCTTCTTTGGAGAAATGTCTATTCAGAACCTTTGCCATTTTAAAAATAGGCCATTTATCATTTTATCATGAGTTGTAGGAGTTCTTTATATATTCTAGATATAAGCTCCTTATCAGATATACGGTTTGTAAAAAGTTTCTCCCATTCTATGCATTCCTTTTTACTTTTTTTTTTTTTTTAAAGACAGTCTTACTCTGTTGCCCAAGGCTAGAGTGCAGTGGCACATCATAGCTCATTTCAGTCTCACCCTCCTGGACTCAAGCAATCCTCCCACCTCAGCCTCCTAAGTAACTGGGGCTATAGGCATGTGCCACCACCTGGCTAATTTGTGTGTGTGTGTGTGTGTGTGTGTGTGTGTGTGTGTGTGTGTGTGTGGAGATGGGGTCTTGCTATGTTGCCCAGGCTTATCTTGAACTCCTGGGCTCAAGCAATCTTCTCACCTTGGCCTCCCAAAGTGCTGGGATTATAGGCATCAATCACACTTGGACTTTTCATGTTCTTGATGCTGTCCTTTGAAGCACAGAAGTTTTAAACTTCAATGATGTCTCTTTCTCATTTTTAATTGTGGGGCAAACAGGCAGAGATGATGAAGGACAGGTATGTAGGTAGCCAAGCTCAAACTGCCTCCATTCAGCAACAGTGAATTTGCTTGCAGGTGGCCATGTTTGATTTTTTAAAAAATGATTCAAGATAAATTGGGGAGGAGAACACAGATTTGGTCCCTATAAGTAGCCTGAATTCCATGAAATAGGTTGGTAGAGTTATCCAGAGAGCAGTCCTCAATGCCAGGGACACTGTTGGTGTGAATGGGGAACCTTCGCAATATGTGGGGTACTCTTTTTGGAGGTTAGATGAACTGCAACTGGTTGTTCGCCTCCATCTGTTTGAATCCACGACTTTGCTGTCATGTTTCACCAGGTTTGGATTTCTGTGGAATCACCGAGTGTTTAGCCTTGAAGTCATGTTCAGGTGGGATGTCTCTTGCCCTGAACCTAGAATGAGCTGGTGTGAGATGCTGAGAGTGGCTACGTTGAAAAGAAAGCCTGAGTCTTTCTTACTATTGACCTTCTCAGGGCAAAATCTCCCGTGTAGCGAGAATCCCCTGCTTAGACTTAGAAATTCAGAAGCAGGAATCCTAGACCAGCTTCCTTGTCAACCATGAGGGAACTGTAGAAGTCTGACTGGCATCTTCCAGAAACCTACCCTCTCAAAACCGAAAGCAGCTTTTGCTGACATCTGGTCTTTCTGGGATGCTGATATTTTTATTTATAAAATGACGCTATTATCCCCAAATAGCTTCTTATTTTTAACAGGTTTTCTCCCTCTGAGGGATGCCTGGGGCTCATAACTCTATTCTCTGGCATCTCAGTGTAACCCTGCAAAGACAACAAGGCTCCTGGCCCATGGCAGGAGGAGAGAGATGGGGTGCTTGCCCACCAGAAAGGCAAACCAAACAACTCAGTGCATCTGGAGTCCAATGTCCGCATTACTTCCCTACGTTCCCCTCATCAGCCCCAGTCCAGGAAGGAAACACTTTCAGTTAGCAATACTAGTCCCTGTACTAATTAATCTCCCTGTGAGTCACACAGGAAGGAGGACAGGTAGAAATGGTGCCTGAGAATGCCTCCAATCTCTACTCCCCGCCTCCTCCACCTTTCCTCTGCCCATTCTCTCAGCTGAGATTTCTCTGTTTCTTATCTCTCAGCTGCCCAACATGTTTGGCGACCTTCGATCCACATTTATTGCCTTGATGATTGGATCCTATGCCTCCTCTGCTGTCACCTTCCCAGGAATAAAGGTGAGGCTTCCAGCATGTTTAGTGTGTACTAGTGTCTGTGCAGAGGCTTCCCGAAAGCCTCCTTCCACTCTTTCTGAAAAGCGAAGCAATTGTGGGTGTTGGGGTAGTCCCTCTTCACCATTCTCACCTGGGTAGGATGTACCCAGGCATCACAGGGGTAAGAAAAGAAAACCTCTGGGCCTTGCGGGGGATGGAAGATTCAAGCCCATTGCTGCAGGGTGTGACTGCAGGCTGCCTTTGCATTTCTCGGCTAGGGTAGGGAAAGGGTGGGGGGGGGAGTGAGACTGTCCCAGCCCTGAGTCCAGCTCCAGTCTCCCTCAGCCCCCGCCTGTTGTTATTGCGCTGCTGCTCCCTGTTAGCCAGAGTGCTGCTCTTGGCCAAGTTGGTTCAGCTGTTTCCCTCCCAGGCGGGATTCCGAGTGTATGGAAGTCACACAGGGTCAGGATGAAGTAAACACCTCGCGGTCCATCAGTCCCAGTTCCTACCCCAAAGCCTGCGGCTCTGCCAGGGCTGCAGTAGGGGCTTTGCCCTCTGCTGGCACCAGCACTAAGTAAAAGCCTATTTCCCCAGTGGGTGAGGGATGCTATCCACAAGGAGAGGCAGTCATAGATTCAGGCTGGTCCCCTGGGAGTCCAGGTGATAGGAAGTGGGAATCTGTGGGCTTGCAGGGGTTTTCATGCCCCTGGAGCCACAAGGAGCCTGCACCTTCCTCCTCCTCGTCTCAGTGTCTAACTGCTGCTGTCCTTCCTGGAACACTGGGCAGTTGTCTTTGGAGACTCTGGTGTTCCTGCTGGAAGTCAGGGGCACTCATGCCAACAACAGCAAACATGCTTGGTAGGCTGCCCACCTGCCAAGGCCACGCCCACTCACTCCAACACCAGGAGGACACATGCCAGTGTACACCTATTTCACGGAGGATCCAAGTGGGGCAGCACATCCATCTGTCCATTGAGTGTTTTGCTGACACCTGCCTTGTGTACTCTTTGAGGCACTGGAGAAATGCCTGAGGACAAGGCTAGCGGGTTCCTGTTAGCTGAACTGGAGCTTAGCGAACACTAGACAAGCAAATAAATTGGGAAGCACAACCACTTCAGCCAGGGCCGTTCCCTGTGAGCCCATGAGACAATGATGTGACAGCAGGGGTAGTCAGGGGAAGCCCTTCCAAGGCATGCCATTTAGTCCACGTCGGAGGCCCAAAGGGCTGGATAACTAGCAAGTGCAGGCAAATTGGGTTTATTGGAACACAGGGTCTCTGATGCCCAAACACTCCAGTGACAGGGCTGTGCCTCCTCACAAGGCTCAACACAGTGACCGCCAGAAACCCCAGCCTGCCATCCACTCTGACGACCCTCTGCTAACTCTGCTCCCCTGTCCCCACCCGTTGTGCCTGTCAGCTCATCTACGATGCTGGGGTCTCCTTCATCATCATCCTTGTGGTCTGGGCTGGCTGCTCTGGGCTGGTTTTCTTCAACTGCTTCTTCAACTGGCCTCTAGAGCCCTTCCCGGGGCCAGAGGACATGGACTACTCGTAAGTAGATGTGCCGTCTGCCCCACGCTCACACCAGCCAGGGTCCTGGGCAGCACCAACGAACACTCTCTGGGGCCCCCAGGGTGAAGATCAAGTTCAGCTGGCTGGGCTTTGACCACAAGATCACAGGGAAGCAGTTCTACAAGCAGGTGACCACGGTGGGGCGCCGCCTCAGCGTGGGCAGCTCCATGAGGAGTGCCAAGGAACAGGCGGCACTGCAGGAGGGCCACAAACTGTGTCTGTCCACTGTTGACTTGGAGGTGAAATGCCAGCCAGACGCTACAGGTATTCACCACACAGCCCTGAGATGTGAGTCAGGCATCTGCATCCATACCCGGGCAACAGGGAGGCATGGCCAATCCAGATTACTGCGGCGAGCCCTGGTGGAGGGCTTTGTGGGTATCATCTCACACAATTCTCACTTCATCCCAGATGAGCCCATTAAGAATCGCAGGGGTGAAGGGATTTGCTGTTACCTGATCTGATTTCACACAAGGGGTGCCCCTCCCATCCTGTAGCAGCAGCACCATTACCCTCACCCAGGCCCGTCCTGAAGGTCCCCTTCCTCGCCTCCAGCATGGAGGGACTTGCTCAGCAAATCAGGCCTGGCCCCTGGATGGTGGGTGGGCTGTGCGCCATGGCCCTGAGACCCGCACCTTCTCCCCACAGCAGCTCCCTCGTTTATGCACAGCGTGTTCAGCCCCATCCTGCTGCTCAGCCTTGTCACCATGTGCGTCACACAGCTGCGTCTCATCTTCTACATGGGAGCCATGAACAACATCCTCAAGTTCCTGGTCAATGGTGACCAGAAGACAGGTAAGTGGCCCCAGGCCTCGGCACACAGCCCCCGGGGAAGGCACCTGGAGAGTGCTGGTCACTCCTCCTGGCCTGAGCTCAGCCCACATCCACTGGCTGGAATGTGTTAGGCTAAGCCGGAGTAGCAGGGCCTTGAAATAGCAGTGTCCGGGACACTGTTTGCTTGTCAGAGTCATTTCATCACAGCCAGTCCCAACTGTTCTTTCATGTCTCCACCGGGGTTTCCTGGTTTAGGAGGAGGAAGGAAAGGACAAAAATAGTTACATGTGTTTGGGGCATGTGTTTTCCAGTGCCTGGGTGGGGAGGGTTGATGTGTGTGTGTGTGTGTGTGTGTGTGTGTGTGTGTGTGTGTGTGTGTGTGTGTGTGTGTGACAGAACAGAGCACTCATTCCCCTGAGTGCTGCTGAGAATCTCCCCCAAAATGGCAGAGTTGGCGTTTATTGAGGGGAGGATGAGTGTCATCATGACTGAAGACACTGGGGCAATTGGGCCCACACTGGGATCTGCGTCCTGAGTTGGCAAAACAGAGCCGGGCGTAGGCTTCCTTGGAGTGTGTGATCCAGTTGAGGCTTGTTAGCTCCAGTAAACAGAACTGATAACCCACACACCACTTTTCTGAAACAGCACAGAAGGCCCTCAGCTGATTAGAGGTTTTGATTCTACAAAGAAAGTAATTCCCCAGGGCCTGAGCTGAGTCAGCTTTAGTCATCCTCAAGCAGGACAAACACATTTGGAAAATCCTTTTTTGGGACAGTCTCTCTGGTGTGCAATTTGTTGGTTTACTTGTTTTTATCAAGGGGAAGATACCCTAGGCATTGTGAGGAATCACTTATCAGCTTTTAAAGGGGGGTGAGAAATTCAACTTTAATAAAAGGAAAAGATAGCAAAGGGAACCAGATAACTTTACTGGTTCTACTGCGAAAATGGGATCTGGGCGGTGAAGCAGAGTAGAGAAACACTGTCATGTGCCCTTGCGAAAATTCACAGTGGACACTAACATAATAAAGACCCCAAGGAGCCCACAGGAAAAAATAACCAATTTAGCTTTGTTTATTCCAGTGATGTTCCCCCAAACGTCTACCATAAGAACCATTGCTTTATGTAACACTCTTAAAATCCGTGGGACATACTTTGAAGACAGGTGATCTATCATGTCTAAACACCTTCTGTTGCCAACATTCAGGTCCAGAGAGGTAGAGATCCTGAAAAAGTGCAGAGAGAGCCTGTCTCTGGCCCTTGGAAGGCTGCTGAGTCATGATCTTTTACTCAAGTTCTCTGAGAAACCTTGTGCTGCCCAAGAGGAATTTTTCCAGCTATTTCTTATATTCAAATAGTCAGTTTCAAGAAGTAGAGGAAGTCAGGCCAGGAAGTTTGGTCTGTGGCAGACAGGGCATTGGATTTCCCCATCCTGTTCCTGTGACTGGTTGCACCCAACACTCACAGCACCCTGATACTGCTGTAGGGTTAGGGAGCTGGCGGTGTGGAAGGAAGACAAGCTCTGGCTGTCTGCAGGAGACTAATGGTGTGAAATGCCTTGGCTGGATATCCAGGGCGGGCTCTTTGACTTTTCTTGTTCTCTGAGTGCAGTGGAAAGTAGCTATGATAGAGCAGTGTCCCATGGGGCCGCATGGGAGTGAGGGACTCTAATTCAGCAAGGCCTCCTGTGCACACACACCACTTCCCCATCATGGTGTCTGCCAGCACTGCAGGCCTGATTCACCAGCCTTCCTGTGACAAGGCATCAGCTGCACATGACTGCTGCCCCTGCAGACTGGAAAACGTCAGCAGGCACCTGGGCTGGACCTTCTCCCGAATCCACTCCCAGAAGCCTGGCTCAGGGTTGGCTTCCTCTAAGTGCTCTGAGTTGGGCTCAGTGGGAGGTGGAGTGTGTGCTGGACGACAGCAAGCCTGCCTCCTCTCCCCATCTGTCTATAACCACTCTTGGGATTCCTGCCGCTAACCTCTCTCCTCTCTGCTTTTTCACCTTTGCTTTCTTGATGCAGTGATGGCCACGGGTAAGCAGGCGGGGTGTGTCAGGGAACTTTGCAGCATCCCCTCCTAGCCTGTCTCTGTTCAACCCAGAAACTCATCACCTTGAGCTCCAAACGTACCTCTTGGCTAGAACTGTGGAGTAGGGGTGGGACCATCAACTTTCAGCTTCTATTTCTCTGAAATAACCCACCATAATTTTAAGTCTCTTTGAAGATAGAAACCTTGCATCAGAGTCCCTGTGAGTGGTGACTTCCTGGTATATTTCTAGAAGCAGAAAGCAAATGGCCAGTCACATGCAAAGCCTCCGTCACGGGCATCGGTAATTCTGTGGTTCCCAAGTCACAGTAACTTCCTGGAGCTTCTGGGAGAGACGTGGTGACATACTAGATCTCATTAGCCATTTCTTGGAAATGAGCAGGGGGTTTGGAGCAGAGAATAGGATCTGCCCCGTGCTCTGGCTTTGACTTCAGAGGTGAGGGTCTCTGGGCTCCCTTCAGGACCCACAGTGACAAGGGGGCTCTGGGGAAGACCCTAAAGGACCTGTGCTTCCCGGCTCCTTCCCAGTACCTGCCCCTCAGGGCTTTCCACCAGGAGCCCCCGTGACTCAGGCCATCTTCCTCCCCAGTTGGCCTCTACACCTCCATCTTCGGCGTGCTCCAGCTGCTGTGCCTGCTGACAGCCCCCGTCATCGGCTACATCATGGACTGGAGGCTGAAGGAGTGTGAAGATGCCTCCGAGGAGCCTGAGGAGAAAGATGCCAGCCAGTACGTAGGCAGGGCGATGCCCCGGCTCCCAGCCCCCTGCCCCTTTAGAAAGGCCACAGAGCCTCATGTTAGGCAGGCACAGGGTGGGTGGATTCGATTTTAACGTCAGGAGAGGCAAGAAAGGCATGTGCTCGGAGCACCCCTCGCAAGCCCCTTAAACACTCACTCATTCAGTTCAGCACGTGTTTAGGTCACTCACCTCTTTATGGAAATTCTTTGGTATGCCAAAGTTTGGGAAGCACTATGCTAGACAAAAGGAGAGAAACCACAGGAAAGTCTGTGCAGACAACCAGATAGCAAACTGTTCTGTCCCAGGGCTGCCCTCCCTTTGATCCTTGGCAGGGGCAACACAGTGGGTAGGCCATCTTAAAGTCGTCCCACTTGTCTACAAGGTTCATTCTACTCAGTTTGAGTAGTAGGTCACTATAGCTACAATATATGTAAGAATAAAGTTGTTCATGATTGTGAGGATTAAACAAGATACTAGAGCCCTACTTTATGTAAGGGTTGGGCTCTAAGATCAGAAGATGAGTTGAATGCTGTCTTCTTTGACTCCACCTTCATATAATGAGCTGTTGTTTATTGTATCTGGCCCTGTGCCAAGCATTTAATGCACAATATCTCAGTCAAGCCTTGGGACATTGTGATGAGGTATGTGCCAGTGTTATACCCATTTTACAGACAGGGGAACTGAAGGTAGGAGTTTGACTAGTTTGCCTCAGGTCTCGTAGAGAGGAAGTGGATGTCTTATGACCGTCCATGGGGTGTCTGTGTGGGTGGTGAAACTGGAATCAGTAATAGTTAATTCACAAAGAAATAATTATAGAGAATGCTCTGTTATCTAGGTCAGGTTCTGCAGCCAAGAGATTATTTGTGCCCATTCCGGTTCCATCTGCTGCATGTTTATTTCTTCTTTACTCACCCCTGCCCCCCAAAGGGAAATCCATTCACTCCCTTATTTGGCTTATATCAGGCTTATTATCAGCTTCCTGCAAGATTTGGGTGGACTGGAAGCCAGTGATGAAGTGAGGCTTTGCCACACATTCTTAGGCACACTCCATTCCTTCTTTTCCCATCATTGGACCTCAGCCTTCACTTAAGTGCTGCAGTGTGTTGATGGCCATCTTCTCATATCTGAGGCCCCTCCTCTGAGGCTCACACTCAGGAGGAGGAACAGGGAGAGTCCCTAATGCTGGTCTAGTCTCATCACTGTCCCTAAAATACGCTTGGGTGGCCTCTGAGTCTTGCAGTTCACTCACTGTGGCTCCTGAGGCCTGTCTTTTTGGGAAGACCCGCTTCCTTCAGGGAGCTCCCCAACTCCTGGGTGTGCTCTGTGTCTCTACAGAGGTGAGAAGAAGAAAAAGAAGCGGGACCGGCAGATCCAGAAGGTCACCAATGCCATGCGGGCCTTCGCCTTCACAAACGTGCTGCTCGTGGGCTTTGGGGTGACCTGCCTCATTCCCAACCTGCCTCTACAGGTGGATATGGGGAGTGGGAGAGGCTAGTTGGGGCGTGGGGCAACAGGAAGAGTTGTTGCTTAGAGACTAAAAGGTCATGGACGCCATCAACAAAGCAAAAGGTGACTTTCATTCATCCCATTCAACCAACCAGCCCACTGGCCCACCATTATTTATTGAGGGCCTGTTACCTGTCCAACTCTGTGCTTGCTACTGGGAGTGAGCCGTAAGGGAAACTTGGATTGCCTTTCCCAGAGGAACTCTTCTCTGTGAAGTCCTGTTGTTCGTCTTGGTCTTTTGGTTATCTCGAGTATCATGAATACCACCGTCATGCCATTTCTTGGAACTGGGGTAGTTGTGTGGTTACGTGTTTTGTATTTGTTCAAACAGCTGAAAACTGATGTTCAAAGAGGCCTGGCCACTCTCTAGTGTTTGTGGGAACATCTGCTTCCCTGTACTAGAGTGCCCTCGGGGTCTCTACTCAAGAGAGTGGAGAAAGACTATGATGATGACTTGGCACCTGGGTTCAGAAGCTTAACTCCCTTGCACAAGCTTTCTGAGGCTTTTGAACGCTGACTTTTGACAAAGATTGTGAGCAAAGTAGATGTTGCCACCCACCTGACCCCACCTGGAGGACGATGAAATTGGTTTAGCAGTAGGTTTTGGTTCAATCCCCAAGTTTACAAACTGTGAAGGGACACGAGTGACAGCTTTGCCTCCAGATGGGTATAGACCATCTGGGCCAGGGCCAGGACATAAACAAGAGTCCCTCCCTTTTTACAAGTGGCCAGGTGTTGAGGCAGGTTGAACAGCCAGGTGTGCCCCACCCACAGGTACTTATCATGGGTATGTGCCGTCACTGGGCGTGCAGACCACAGGAAGCCATTGAAAACTTGTACCAGTTCCAGAGGAAGTGTTGTTGCATCCCTCATGCTCTGCCTGTCTCCTGGGCTGCCTTGTCTGTAAGACCAACAGGTCCTTGCCCTGACCACCTTGTCCATCGAGAGGCAATGCTCAGTGGGGCTAGTCATCTGCTTTTTATTTAGTTCTCAATGAAAACTTCGAAAAGGCAGCAAGATGTTAGAGGTGGGGGGGCGGGTGCTGCACAAGTATGTGTGTGCATGTGCATGCACATTCAGGCACAGCTTCTTTCAACACTGCAAAGAGCAGCCCCTGCCCTCTTCACTACCCCCATTTCTGGGAACAAGTCCTGGCCGCTGAACAAGATAGCAGGGCTGTGTACAAAAGACAAAAAGGGCAAACACAGGGTTCTAGTGGCAAAGCAGATAGCTCTTGTGCCTTTCAGGAGTCATTAACAAGCACTTCTAGGAGCTTCTAAGCCTGCCAGCAGTGGCTTTCCTGGGAGGGCGCCTTCCCACAGACAGTGATAGAACTTTGCTAGGGAAGTGAGAAGAGCAACCACCTGTCAGGAAGGGCTGGGCGAGCAGGCAGGGAGACCTCTGGGCACAGTCCTCAAGTGGGCAAAGGCAGGAGATCAAGGTCTTGATGAGTGCCGTCCTATACAGCACTGTATCTAACAGCAGAGCCCTAACTGGTGGTGTTTGCATGTCACCATAGTGTAAATGCTCTCATCAAGGCTGGTTTCAGGCTATCACTCTGATGTCACCAAATGTGGAATTGGAAAGAGATTCACAGTAACACACCATCACATGGCATTTCCACCAAACAGATATGATAGATGTCAAAAACCTGGCAAGTACAATAGTGAAAGATAGCAAAATAATTAGGAAGTAAATGAGTTTATATCATTCAATTTTTTTTTTTTTTTGAGACAAGATCTCACTCTGTCACCCAGACTGGAGTGCAGTGGAGCGATACTAGCTCACCATAGCCTTGACATCCTGGGCTCAGGCAATCCTCCTGCCTCAGCCTCCCAAGTAGCTGGGACTAATGGCATGCACCACCACACCCAGATAATTTTTTTTTGTTTGTATTTTTTGTAGAGATGAGGGCTCAAATGATTCTCCTGCCTTGGCCTCCCAAAGTGCTATGATTACAGGCGTGAGCTACCATGCCCAGCCATAATTCAATTTTTAATAATGACTGTGTTTAACAACTGGCTTGCAAATTGCTGAAAATTCAACAATTGGCTCTGGAGAACTTGTATAGCCGACTCTAGGGTGTCCCTGCTCCTGTTGTTTAGGACCCCAGGAACTGCGGGGGCAGGGGAAAGACAGGGAAGGGCCCCTTGTGGTCCTGCTGATGCTCTGTTCTCCTTCCCTCAGATCCTCTCCTTCGTCCTGCACACGATCGTGCGAGGATTCATCCACTCTGCCGTTGGGGGCCTGTATGCTGCCGTGTAAGTCCTGGAGGCTGCAGGTGGCTGGCAGACTAGGGTTTGGGAATGGTCTGGGGAGGCTGCTGGTGGGACTGACCCTGAGGCTGCGTCAGCCTGCCCTAACAGGATTCATTTTCTTGCACCAGGGGATAGGTACTAGGGTTTCTGCTGGGTGTGCCAGGGGAAGGCCATACCTGGCAGGAAGTGGGTCAGTGGGCAGACAGTTGGGTGCCCACGAGCCTTGGCATTTAACACGAAGTCAGTTCTCCCAGCCAGGGTCAGTACTGCTCTTGTAGTTCATTATGGCCTCGGGGCTGCTACTTAGCCAAGTCCTGGGCTGGCCCTGGCTGCTCAACGGGAAAGACAGGGGTGGGTTCTGGCTGCCTGAAGCTAAAGGTTGAAGTTCAGGTGGGCTTCATCAGGAGTATCAACATGGGTGAATGAGCCCACAATGTACCAGACTGTCCTCATTTAGAGCCTTTTCAAAGGACCCAGTTGTGGGCATAACCTTCTTGGGCCCTAGCTAAAATGAAACCACCTTTTTCCAAGAGACCACACATCCACGATTGTTCTTCCTACTCTGACCTGGGACTCGATCCAAAAACTGGACCCCAAACACCATCATCTACTGCCTCTAACTGTGAGACCAGCTCATTTCATGCTGGGAGCCCCTTCCCATCCCTGGGTCAGCAAAGCCTGGCGTGTGCTAAGGTTTAACCCAGAATTCCCTCCTGCTTCCTACAGCATCCCATGGGGTCATCCCAGGTCTGCTCATCCTCCACCTCGCCCCGTCCCCCAGGAGGAAGTTGTGGCTGCCCTGGCAGGGGCTAAGGGAGTCAGGCAAGGCCTGTGATGCTGAGTTTCCGTGATTGCACAATGCTTTTCTGGATGAGGGCACAGCAGAGCCAGGCCCAGCCTCCAACTTGCTCCCTGGGCCTGTTTCCCAAGCTTCAGACTCCTGCCGGCACACTTTCCTCACAGCCTGGCCAGACACCTACAGGCCTGCGGCACATCTGGGTGGTGTGGGCCCTATCCAGAGTCTGGGGCCTCTGGCTGGTCCCCAAAGAGAAATGCTTTGCAGTACTGCTTAGCAGAAAGTAATCCAAGGGCCAATACCTCACTCTTCTCTGGCACCAATGGTGCAGCCGGGGGTCACCAGATACCTGGGGCCAGGCTGAGCTGAGGAGGATGGCACTGGCCATGACAGGTGTCTGTTGTCCCTACAGGTACCCCTCCACCCAGTTTGGCAGCCTCACAGGACTGCAGTCTCTGGTCAGTGCACTCTTTGCTCTCCTGCAGCAGCCACTGTTCCTGGCTATGATGGGTCCCCTCCAGGGAGACCCTCTGTGGGTAAGAAGGGCCAGGGGGCATTGGGTTATGGGCATCTGCTCCACTCTGCTGACTAGGAACTGGGGGTATCGATTGGGGCTCCAGAGTCCTGAGGACACGAGGTTTGAGAACTTTGGTTAGGATCAATTCAGGGTCCCTTCATGAATGGCGGCCAGCCAGGAGGCATAACATGTCCTCTCTGGACCTGATTTCTGGGTAAACAGAAGAGTTTCTGTCCTGGCCCCTCCTGGCAGGGCAGGATTCTTAACCAGGTACCAAGAGCTTGTCCCAACCCTGGCCCCACCCCTGGAGATTCAGATCAGTAGGTCTGAGGTGGGGGCCCAGGCCCTGAGGGCTGCCGGGTGCCTGAGAAGAGCCTGCAGAATTGGACGCTGGAATGCGGAATGACAGGCCCTCAGACCTCTTGGACCTTCCTGTTTCCTTTTTTCCTCTCTCCTCCTATGACTTCTCTTCCCAAACCTGATTGTGAGGGTAAGCGTCAGTCCCACCCTCCCATGATGGCCACCTTCCTCCCTGCCTCCTCAGGTTAACGTGGGGCTGCTTGCCCTGAGCATGCTGGGCTTCTGCCTCCCCCTCTACTTGATCTGCTACCGGCGCCAGCTGGAGAGGCAACTGCAGCAGAAGCGGGAGGATGACAAGCTCTTCATCAAGATCAACGGCTCATCCAACCAGGAGGCCTTTGTTTAGCACCCACCACCTCAGAACTGCGGCCTCCTGCCTGCGCTTCCGTGACTGACCCACGTGCCCCTCCCCACCCCAGAGGATGCCACGCACCCCCAGGATCCTTTCCTTCACCATGTTGGAGTTCACTCTCCCTCCCGGGGCCCTGGTCCTGCCTCGGAGTTCTGCGCTGGAGGGACAGGCGAGGGCCCAGGACGGGCACGTTTCCCACTGCTGAATGCAGGAACTGCCCGGCTTTTCTCTACCACCCCTGACGGACCCTGAGGACTTGGGTCTCCAGATGCCTGCAGGAGGAGCCAACAGTACCCTTGGCAGGCAGGCACTCTCCCTCAAGTGTCTGGAATTCTGTCTCTTGCCAAAGCAGAGGGGTCTGCCATCCGCTGCCCACCACCTGCCCCTCGGCTGCATGCCCACCAGCCACGCCTGCCTGAGGACAAAGGCTTGCACTGTCTGCACCTCCCTCGCCTGGCCCCTCACCTCCTCCCCTGGCCAGTCTAGGCTGCCTGAGGAAGGAAGGACCCGCTTCCTGTTGTTGGTGCTAACTCCTTTGTAACTCCAGCCCCCTGTGGTCAGTCTGTGGCCTGTCCTCCCATTTGAGGCCTGTGGAGAAACACCCTCCCACTCCCCATCCCCCAGCTTACAGCCTGGGAGGGGATGGAGGGCTGAGGGGTCACACGACCTCAGGAGCCATGGACAAAGCTGAGCAGTCATCCCTCACCTCTTCCCTCAAGGCCTACTGGGGGAGCATGCTTCTATGCCACCCTCCATCCTATCAGCCACCTGAAGAGAATGAAAGGGCCACCACCAGGCCACCCCCCCCACATACACATTGGTTTTGTGGAGGTGGAAGTAAGGCTGTGGCTAACAGATATGGAGGTCCAGACCTGGGCAAAGAAGTGGACTTGTGGGGGCCGAGGGATGTGTGTGAGATGGGGGTGGAGTGGGCTCTGAGGGTCTGACCCTGTCCCCACCTACCAGACCAGGAGCCTGCCATGGTAGCAGCAGGCCCACCACCCAAGAGCCAGTCTCGCTCTTTGCTGGGAACTTGTTCAGGGCTGCAGATCCACAGCGCCCCCTGCTGACAGACTGTGCCAGGCCCTGGAGCTGTTTACGTTGGAGCAGCCAAGCCTGCCTGGCTCACCAACCCACCCACCTTGATTGCCCCCAGAAATGTGTCTGAGACCTCCTGGGAGTGCTGAGAGGGGTGAGTTGATGTTTAGGTTTTTAGTGGGGTTTTTTTTCCTCCTTTTAGTTTTATCAGACTTCTTTTTATAAAGCAATAAATTCATTTTTTCCTGGTAAGGGATCCCCCCTTTAGCATATCAGTTGATGCCTGCATGTGCCTGTTTTGAGCTTGAGAAGAAAAGTCATGGCAAGATTTTTCTGCCACCGACCAGCCCCAGCCTTACCCAGCTGCTCGCCATCTCTCTGGGGAACTGCTGTCTCAGGAGGGTTGGTAGACCAGAAAAAGACCTTACTCCCCCATCCCTGAACAAGCTGGGCTTGTGGAGACATCTTAGAAGTGCAGGCCACCCTCCTCTGCTGTTTATCCCAGTCAAACAGGCTAATCCCGACCCTTTCTGTCCCCTGCACCCTTCTGCAACCCTGAGGATTCCTCCTGCATTCAGGACATAGGGGGAGCCCAGGAGAGCCTCAGGCTTAGAGGGAGCAGAGTCAGGAAGCAGTGTAGGACGAAAGGAGAACAGGAGGGGCAGGCCCAGGCCCAGAGTCAGGCTCTGAGTTACCGTTTGAGCACCCTGAGCACCCCAGATCTCCTAGGCTTTGATTCACTCAAATATTAAAAATCTAAACCAAAAAAGTGAGAGTGAATAGATCAACACTTCCCAAACTGCTCTTTAGAACACTAGTTCTGGGATAAATCAATGGTCATTCTAATTTCTAAAAAACTGCATAGTCAAATCTGGGAAAGGCTGAGTTAAAGTCAAGCCCGTTTCCTTACTGCAGGCCCTGGAAGCACTCAGGAGCACCACAGCTCTCCAGCGGGGTGCGATATGCTGCTGAGGACAGTTCTACCACCACCGCCATCTGCCTCCATGGTCACTGGCAACAGGCGCTCTTGGGGGGCTGGTTCAAGATGTAGACACCGGGTCTTGCCTTTGGTGATTGACTGGCACCAGCCTGCCTCTCAGATTTGAGACCCACTGTTGAAGAGGAGTGCAGACTGGGGAAACGCAGTGACTCTTCCAGCTGGGAAAATGCAGTGTCGAGGTGGGGCAGACATGGCTTGTGCTGTCCCCAACAGCACCTAGGCCCAGCCAAAGTGGGCACTGCTGCCTCATTCTTCCACCCCTCAGGGTGTGGCACTTTGTGGGAAGGAGGCATTGAGAAACTAGAATTGAGGGTGGAAAGCAGTCCAGGGCCAACAGTGCTTGGGGATTTGAGGCACAAAAATGGGAGCAGGGTACAGAGGTTGTGGCTAGCCAGATACGTCAGGTACCACTTGTGTCTCACCTCCTAGCCAGGGGCCGGTCACTCTACCCTGACTTTGTACAAAGGTGATAGGTTACATGTTTTCCTATTATTGTTGAATCATGATAGCTATCTTGGAGTTAGATACCATCATCCCTATCTTACAGCTGGAAAAATGAAGCCCAAAGGGGTGGAATAACTTGCTTAAAGTTAGAACCAGACCTCACTTGTGGGTCTTATGTCATTGAAGCAGCTGGGACTTCAGTGACCCCCTCTAGACCAGCACATTCCATTTGGAGCAGCAGCCCAAGGAAGGAGAGCAAGCCTAGGCATGGTCTCTACTTCTCGGAGCCAAGAGCTTCCTCAGAGGAGTAGCGTGATCCCTACTCAGCAGAAGCATTTTTGCCCTGGAGGCTGATGGGTACTTGTGTGAGCAATTTCCTGGTGACCTTTGCCCCCACAAGGAGTGCCCTGAGAAGGGGAAGGGACCCCACACTGGTTGAAGGCAGTGGGTACCAAGTGGCCGTGGCCCTCCCATCTTTTCCTGCATCTTCCAGGCTCCTGTGGAAAGGAGCAGGAAATGATGCGTGGCCCTGTGGCTTCCATGAGAGTGAGGAAGGGCACTGAACAGGTCTCAGGAATGCTGCCAGGAGCCCCTAGAGCCTCGCTAGACTCTAGGGTCTAGGCATTCCTCCAAACCCTCTCGGCCACTGCCTGGGCCCCTATATAGGGAAAGTTCCACCCTCATAAAGGCCAAAGATGTGGATGTGGGCCCTTGTGGATTCCTTCCTGTTTCCCTTCCCATCTCATAACCAGTATCGTGCTGGTCAAAACTTCTACTCAAGCCCTCCTTGCCGTGGCCCTGTGCTGTGCCATCTGAGGAGGGCATTACCTTGCCCTAGGCCCCAAGGACACTAGAAATGTTGGGGCATACAATATTGGGCTTATGTGCGTAGGACTGTCCCAGACAGAAGCACAAACATGTACGTATAGCCAAGTGGAGTTTTTTATGCACTTGCATGCCAGCCTCTGTGAATTTGAGCAGATTTGCAACCAGGGTGGGTGATGGGGTGGGGGACAAGCTGTGGCTATCCGATGATGAGGGGCTCCTGCCAAGAGCACTGAGACATTTCAACGGAATTGGCCTTCAGGGCTGTTTCAAGCAGCATTTCCCCTCCCTCTGAAGGGTAACAGGACGGGTTCTCATGGGCCTTTGGGGCAGTGAGGTACTTTATCTGTGCCAGGGACCCAACTCAAGGGTGGTAGCGCATTTCCCCCTAATATAGACCATGGGATTATGAGGGTTAGATTAGGATCCTAGGACCACCGAAGTGAGTCAGTTGTTCAGACTGCCATGGCGGGGGAGGTCAGGGTGAGCAGGTGGGCTCTGCAAGCCTGTTCCTCGCCATGTTCTGACTTGCCCCAAGCCCTGGGGTGAGGATGGAGCTTCCCAAGTGTCACAAAGGAGGTGCCACATTCTCCACGTGTGTGGCCTGTCACAGCTCAGGTCCCTCCCTCCCAGCATACAACTGCTGCCTATACCCCTTGGTATCTTTTTTTTTGAGTTGGAGTCACACTCTGTCGCCCAGGCTGGAGTGCAGTAGCATGCTCACAGATACCCCAGCATCGACCTGCTGGGCTCAAGCGATCTTTCCACCTTCCAAGTAGCCGGAACTACAGGCACGTACTGCCACGCCCAGCTAATTTTTTGATTTATTGTAGAGATGAGGTCTCACCAAGTTGCCCAGGCTGGTCTCCAACTCATGGACTCAGGCAATCCTCTCACCTCAGCCTCTCAAAGTGCTGGGATTACAGGCTTGAGCCAAAGCACCCAGCCCTTGTCTCTTATGTTATTCATCCTCATCCTCCCAGGTAGATCTAAGACAAAATCAAAGCCACTGGCAGCTCCCAGACCTTGACCCTTCTCAGAGTGAGGCTCTATCACACCATGCCGATAGGCAACAAGGGAAGACCAAAGGTTGGAGGCACCACCACATACAGTCTTGATGGCCTTAGGTGAGCCTTGAGCTTCAGTTTCATCATCTTTAAATGGAGGTAATAATAACTTCACAGTGTGGTCTAGTGACCATGGAGGTAAAGCACCTGCATAGTAGTATACCTGGTACTTAACAGAAGCATTATTTTTAGCACCCTGGAAGGAGGCAGCTAGCACAGGGATCAAGGCACCACCCCCTCATCCAAGCCCAGGTAACAGAATATCTACCGTAGGCAGCTCTGGTCAGGACAGACTCGTGGCCAGTTCAAGAACCTGAAGTTCGTATCTGCTGACCCCTGCCCTTGTCAGATTCCCTCTCTAAGCAGAAGCCTTGAGAAATTATCCCCAGTCGGGCTCGGTGGCTCAGCCTGTAATCCCGCGCCTTGGGAGGCCGAGGTGAGTGGATTGCCTGAGCCCGCGGGTTCGAGACCCGCCTAGGCAACTTGGCAAGACCTCATCTCTACAACAAATCAAAAAATTAGCCGGGCATGGTAGTGCACGCCTGTAGTTCGGCTACTTGGAAGGCTGAGGCGGAAGGATCGCCGGAGCCCAGCAGGCCGAGGCTGCGGTGGCCGGGAGTGGCCACTGCACTCCAGTCTGGGCGACAGAGACTCCAACTCAAAAAAAAAAAGAGAAATTATCCCCTTGTTTGCTTTTCTTTTATGACTTTCACATTTTGGTAAGACTTGGCCAAAAATCTTCTCAAGATAATCTCTAAATGGTAGATTTATGTTGAGTGGGGTGACTCAAGTCAGAGTCATGTAGGCAGCACCTCCACACCCCCTCCTTGTAAAACTACTTGGCCGTGCCTCTGTGTGTGTGTGTGTGTGTGTGTGTGTGTGTGTGTGTGTGTCTGAGTGTCTAAGTATGAGATGTATTCTGGGCATGTCAGGGTGTATACATGTTTGGAGGAGTGTGTAGGAGCTTGTCTGTGTGCCTCTCTACTGGATGGAGAAGAGAGGAAGGGTCTTGCCTCACTGATCTCCTTTCAATCGCTGGAAAGAAAACCTAGGCAGACACAGCCCAAAGACCCAGCCCAGGCTCTCTGAGGGTGCCTGAAGTGTCCATCCAGTCCCTGTATTAAACAGGGCCAGTACAGTGTCATTGACAACTCAGTGGCTGACCCTGACTCTTCCCTGCCCCTTTGCTGTTTCTAGCACCTGACTTACTTCCTGGCACACAGTAAGCACTCAATAAATGTATGCTGAGAATGACTAAGATCAGCTTCCTCCTTGGCTCCTGTGTCTCTTTCTTCTTGTATCACACATCCCAAAAAAAAAAAAAAAATACACATCCTTTGCCTCTCGTCTCTTGCCCAGATTCCCTGTAACTTGGTTGGAATGTGCTCCCTGACCCCCATCCCTCCCCTAGTCTGCCTTTGCTGGTCTGGCCTTCTGCACAGCCATTTGAAGAACTGTGGAAGGAACAGATCAAGGGACCTCTTGGGTGGGAAGACCAAGGCTTCTGGTGAATTCTGGTTCTAAAGGAAGTTCCTTTTGTCCCTAGGCCTCCCCAGAGAAGCCCAAGGCATCTGACCAGGGAGAGGGGACTATGTGATCTGAGGCCTGGGCCCTGACCCTGCTGGGCCCAGTGGAGGGTGAGGATGGCCTCGGGAGTACAGTAGACTGGCGGAGAAATGCTAGATGGATGTGGGTGGGGGTAGCTCCTTGTCAAGACTGCAGATTCAAAAGCCGGGCTGCTGCCTTCGCTTTGCTACTTTTGATGGAGATAGTACAGAAGAATACTCCAATAAAAGCAGAGCCATCACATAAGCTCTGCAATGACACAGGGGCAGCTAGACCTTGACTTCCATGTCAGAGACACAAAAGGACGTGGTGGGGACTGGGAGGGACCTGAAGGCCACAACCCTCATCCAAATGGAAAGCCTTGACAGAGCTCCAACCAATTATTATCATGTGAAATGAGAGCAGCCAGGTCTAATTTTTTTTTTTTTTTTTGAGTTGGAGTCTCACTCTGTCTCCCAGACTCGAGTGCAGTAGCACACTCCTGGCCACCACAGCCTCGACCTGCTGGGCTCCAGTGATCCTTCCGCCTCAGCCTTCCAAGTAGCTGGAACTACAGGCACGCGCTACCATGCCTGGCTGATTTTTGATTTATTGTGGAGATGAGGTCTCGCCAACTTGCCCAGGCGGGTCTCGAACCCGCGGGCTCAGGCAATTCACTCACCTCAGCCTCCCCAAGCGTGGGATTACAGGCTGAGCCACCGAGCCCGGCTTTTTTTTTTTTTTTTTTTTTTGCAAGAGAAACTGGAAATCCTGATTTTTATATAAAATATTCCCATTTTCAAATGTTGGTTCAAAATAATTTGTTAAAAATCATAGCTGCTTCAAATCATGTTTAACCCTTTGTAGGCCCAAAACGGC